GTGAGGAGAAAAGAGGGAGAAAATCGAGGATTATGAATATGGTAAACGTGTGAAAACGTGTGTGCTCCTCAATTTTCTAAGGAAAAATATTGCGTTTTATCGATCGCGCATCAAGATAGACCCCGTGTGCGTGCCATGCGCGGAACGCGTTGATATTATTTCACTACCACGGCGTAAATAATGTCTTTCTTACCCGTGGCACCATTAAAAAATAGAACACATACCTACGATAGGCGCTCCCGTTTATGCCCCCCTGTAATTAACTCCGTTATCTTCGCGGCTTTTATCTATCGGCGTAATTAACGAAATGCAAGTGTCTCTCAGCCGCGGCTGGAGACCAGTCTGTGCCGCGTGCCCGCGCGACCGCATCACCCGAGAAAGAAATTAGCCGTCCGAGTTAAAATACAACTGTGGCAGCTGAGTGTCTTTGAAATAAAAACGCAAGTCGTCGCCATCGCAGCTAAATTTATCAGCCGTTCGAATTTAGGCGCTACGGGGCGAAAAATATTCGCCAGGTCGCACTAAAATCATTCAATTCATATTTCCGAGAAGTGTATTCATTCTTTTGTTTAACCCCTTCGGTACGAGCGCTCTGTACGCCGTGACACTCCCGCTGTACGAGGCGCCGAAAATGCACACATAGCGCGTGGTCGGTTCTCCTTTGTACGAAGATTTTCCTAAGCGTTAAATAAGAACTGTGCTTAATCTAATAAAAGCCGGTAAAATAGAATACTCTGTTACCAACTATAGATGGTGTTCGTACACACAGATCATCAGATGGATGCCGGATATATCCGGCGCTCGTACCGAAAGGGTTAACAGAAGCTGCCATCGAGGTGGTTGGTATATCCTGATTTTGTCGGGAATTTAGCCATTTGCTTAGTTGAATGTTGTATCGTATCTGAAGAACACCCTAATGCGAAGAAAAATAATTCGCCGGCAGCAAAATCCGTCAGTTACTATGTGGGGGATAAAACAATTGGTTGAGAATATTAATTGCCACTCGCAATTACAGTAAATATAGGAAACATTATTTTGTACTAATAGCAAATTAACGTGTCCCGAGGGCAAAATTGCACTCGGCAAAATTTTCCCATCCTCATAACAAAACTGTTTCCGCTCTAATCGCGAATGATTCACTAATTTGATCGTACCAACTCAATTTTAATTCGAACGTCACAATGAATATGCAGCGGCAACGATTTGTTTCGCTACAACAGCAAAGTGGATCGTGAGTCAATCACCTTAGTGTACTAAGGGTACACCGGGGGTTCTTCGTCTTACACCACTTCGCTGATTGATATAAATGTGTTTCGTATTGTCTATACAGGGTACAATCAGCACAGTTAACCAATCTTAGCTACTTGTGCTGATAATTCCCGCTGACAAAGTTGTATCTCGCAGCAAATATATTCTACCTCTAATGGCCAACTTTTAGTAATAACGGCAAAGTTCGAACCAACTAATGATATTTAGCCGCTATTACCGAGTCATTTATCCGTACGTTCGCGTCATCGATTACACTGTATGGGCTTCTTCGCGAACGCTCGTAATTACGATCATCTAAATTCACAATTTTTTTCTTCAACTCTCCGTTATCGAACTCGCGTTATACAAAATGAAGCAATAATTATTATCACTTTGTACAACGTCAAAAAGTAAATATATATATATATATACATGAAAAATAATTGGGACTCAGGATTCGTTCAGCGTGAGAAGTTGATTCACCGCGTACATTTGTCTGGAGGATTGTCCGGTGCGTCATTACACTCTGAACAATATATCCTCCCACAATATAATTAAAGTGCCGCTACAACATCCGCGACTTGACTCTTGAAGACCCATTTTATTCCTCTGTAGTTAGTCACTAGCGGAGCCCGTGTAAACATAAATTCGTCAAAATATTCCCCCGTAGTGACTGGATGAAGATGAACAAACTTACATTTACATATATCGAAGCGACGACCATTGGTATCAATGCAATTTCTGCTACATAAATTTTTCTCTCCTACTTTCACATTTCGAAGATATTCAAGGTGTCGATGGTTATTACCTCATCCTGTATACACGAATAAGTGGGTTATTCTAACAAGCGAATTAATCAAATTTGCGACAAGTGATCATTCCGACCACCTTTCCCGGAATTTCCACGAAGATCGCGAAGCCCTAAAACCGCGAGCGTATCGCCAAAGGCCGGTCATCGTAAACAGACGAACGGGGTCGCCGCAAGAGAGGGGACCAAAAGGAGGAGAGACACAAAGAGAGAGAGAGAGAGAGAGAAACGAAGACGGACAAGAGAGGGTACGGAAATGCAGCTCTCGCAGTGAATGAATGGATAAAATCAGGAAGATCCCCCGTGTCCCCCGCCGGTTATGTCGCGGCCGACGCGCCACGTCGGACGAGACACGCCGCTTCCCCCCGTCGCGCTCGGCGCTCGGCCAGCGGTGGTAATGCCGCCTCGCAACACGAGATTAGTTCCGCAGAGCCGGCCGGCCGACCGGCCGACGAGCAGCCTTGAACCAAATTACGGGCTGCCGTTGTTTAGTTGTTTAGCCAGCAGCGTGTGCTGCAGAGAAATCCCGGCCGGGAGCATCTAAGGCGACGGATGCTACGAGCAACCAGCCGCGGCGATCGGTTCGATCGCGCGACCTCTCCTTCCGCTTCTTTAATCAGCCGTTACTTGAGCGCCGATTATTTCTAGCCGATCGATAATCGACGGCCGAGAGTGTCTCTTCTGTATTCATCGACTTCGTGTCGCGTCGGGGGATTTTCCTTTCCTTTCTACAATGACTTTTTCTCGATCTCGGGATCGCGCCTCGTCGTTGCCGAGAAAATCTCGTCAGCGGTGTGTAGAGTTTTTCTTTTATTTATTTTTCTTTTTTTCGAGTTTCATCGCACGCGATTGTTGCTACGCGAATGTACGTCCACACTCGTCGAGACAGGACGCGGTATTGTGGTGTAGCCTTGAATTTACAGGCACGACTGCAACAATAGTTGAATAGAGCGCATTGGTACGCCAGAAACCGCGAACCTCGGCGATCCGCCGGTAGGCGCGAGAACGGACGCGGGCCTGAACTCCGATTCGGTACACCAAAGTGAATAAAGTAGCGAAGTTACCGAGGAATTAGCATACCGTCGAATTCGGCGGTAGATGCCCGGAGAAGAAATATCGGTTGACTTAATGCGACAATGAACGAGCCGGACGTGTTTCGGTCGAAGGAAACGAAATTTCTGCCGCTCACGACGGCGAATTTAGTTCACAGGAACCAGAAATTCTCTCTCTCTCTCTCGTCTAAAACGTGCTCGTTCATCGTCACGTTAATTCAACCGATCCTTTTTCGCGTGTAGTTCCGAGAAGAAATGCGGAATGTTTTTGCACGGAATTATTCGGCGAAGCCTGAAGCCCGAGTTTCATTAATTTTCACCTAAATTCGCTCTACCGCAACTATCTTTATAATCGCTACCAGACGAAGCTTTCGACGGTCGTTATTATAATCCTCGTTACGCGCCAGCGCCGTCGTCATCCTCGTGATTATTATCATCACCATCGTCGCCGTCCTCGTCAACATCATAACCATTATTATCGTCATGATCATCATCATCATCATCAGCGTCATGATTACCGTCATCATCAACATCATCGTCGCAACAATCTTTGTTATTTCCATCCAATGTCTTAGTAACTAACATCGTAGCGTGACAAAGCACGTTCTCATAGCCTTGACAGTCGACCCGAACACTCCCCGGACTCGCCGACTGTCGAAGCGGCAACACGAATCTAAATAACTAGATTATTTTGCTGAATCTGACCGATGCTAAATCGGCGAAAAGCATATCTCTTCGCGTCATACGCCGTTCGATCGTTTTATCGGTTGAATGAATTGGTTGGACAATGTTGAATAATCGAGAGCCCGGGCGAAGATTTATAAGGCTATTTGAAAAGACAAAATCGCGATCGCGCGCGCGCGCTCGCTCTGAAGACGGAGAGAGGAGGACGAGGAGGGGTGGGATGGAAGATGATGACCCTGACTAGCTCACTATTTTTGGATGAGCATCTTCAAGGTTGCCGACTATCTTTATACTCTTTTTCCTTCGTTTCGTCGACGTGAGAATTTTCAGTGGCGAAAAATGCGGTAGAAAAACTAATCACGCCTACTACAACTAATCACGGTGTTACGATTGTCAGCTTAATGATTCGAATATTATGCGAATGATAATGAAATATGGTGCATAATACATAATATACTTATGAAAGAGTCATTAACTTTTTTTTTTATGCAGGAAGTAATAATTATTCCCATTTTTCGAATATCTTCGAAATATGAGAGTAGGACAAAAATGTATCTAATAGAAATTGCATTGATATTCAATAGTCATCGCTTCGCAAGTGTGAATCTGTAAATACAACTCTCTCTTTTTTCGTCTTCATTCAATTATTAATAAAATATTCTCACTTTTCGAAAATATTCAAGGCGGTAATAATTATTGCCTTACCCTGTATATTTACGTGTAATGGTTACTCGTTCGCCACATTGCTAATTCGTCTGGGAAGAATATTAAGGACGTGGGGAAAGTGCCGAGATCCGTGGAATAATTAAAATCATCGTTCTACGTCGTAGAGTGCATGTCGAATTTCGCAAAGAACGCATTATACCATATGCCGGAAGTTTCGAAAGAAAAGCGCATTGCACAGAGGATGTGTAACGTACGGGTCGGTCGTCAGTCAATATGCAGTCACGTGTGCGAGATAACCGATATTGCCAGAAAATATTCCTTTTAATTCGCGATAACGTGAAGTTCACGGAACTTTGTGATAATTTTTCGCGTTCCAGATTCAAGTGAGTAATTGCTCAAAAGCTAAAAAGTATTGGAGTAATTATTTGCTTAAATCTAACACTTCTTTTCCTGCGCAATTACCAATGCTTTCCTTGAATATTACCGAGAAGGTCGAGCGACCAATGCCGTGTTAAGCTAACGAGACGAAATTACATTTTCAGGGAAACAAGGTAAAGATGGACCAGAGGAGAAGAAGGATGCTGACGGCGAACTCTGGGGCAACGTGGAAGCGCAGGCCGCCTTCCTCGGGCCCAATCTCTGGGACAAAACTCTGCCCTACGATGCCGACCTGAAGGTATTGAATCATGTATGTATAAAGGCGCGATACGGTAAGCCTTGAATTTGGCTGGACCCAATTCCAAAATTCAATACAAACTAAAGCTCGAAACCAAACTAATCGTCTTATGTTGTTTGTCTTATGTTGTTTGTGTGTCTTGACTATTCGATCCACTAACTACACACTCACTCATGGATACCGTCTCTGTGTTCTGCGTCCGTGTGACTCTGTTCTTTCACTTTTCCCTCGATTACGCGCGTTGCCGTTCGTGATCGCGATAACGCGAGCCGAAAGTTCGCCCCGTGCCTTCGTGAACGCGTTTGGAAACTCGCACGACGAAGTTCGCCCGCACCCCCGGAAGTTAAGCCGGTGTATATATACACACGTAATAGAATGGAAAATCAATGCAGCGGACCAATGCATCGCCCCGTTGTAACACTTACTCCGTTATAATTCGCCTTCCTGGATCGAGAAACCGGGAAGCCGAATATTAAGCCGCTATGCAATCGCGACGATAGCGGCGGCCGCTTTCTCCGTTCTGCCTCGGCGGAATCGAGGAAGTTTCGGCTATTCTTTCCTCCATTCGTGTGATTATTTTTAGCAAAACTATCCGGCTTAACCTGTCTGCTACGGGGAACTACGTAATTTTTTTCTCGCGCTTTCCAGAGGCGACGCTTTCTTCTGACGCAAAATTCCAACGCAAAATTCTCCCGGAGGGAGCGATATTTTGCGGAGATATAACATTTCGCAAACGATCCGCTATTTTAGTTCCGAGCAGTTGAATCGCTCGCTCGCTCGTACATCGGCCGATGGTTTGATTTTCGAGAAGGAATGGAGTTCCCCGCGAATCTTTCACCGTCTCGTCGCCGTCATCGTCGCAAACTTTCACCATCCTCTCCATCGTTGCCTGATACGGTGCTTGAATTTCGATAAAGGTGCGCGGCGAAGTTACAAAGTGCGAGGCGGAGTGTGGAATACAAAGATATTTTCCGCGAAAGCGCGCTGCAAGCCGGCGAGTTCTTCTCGCGAGTTCTTATATGGACTTTCGAAACAAAGAGCGCATAGGCTACGGTGTGCAGAGCACAGACGGTTTTCCCGTGGCAATGCCGGTTTCACGGCACTGCTACAGGGCCTATCTTCGCGGAACACCCGGGCCCTAGGCGAGATACTGTCGAATCGCGATCCTTCCCATAAAAAAAGTATTAAAAAGAAACACACGTAGAAGATTAACGCTTCGATGTGAGAAATTAACGCATCAAACGTCGTTAAATGCGACACGACTGGTACGTATTTTAACTATTCGCGGAATTTGCACTGAAAAATGAGTTTGGTTGAATCTATCCGATGACGTGCAACCAAGAGCATTTTGGTCGGAGGAAACGGAATTCCTGGTTATAAGAACGAAAATTGCAATTTCGTTGCCTTCAATCAAAACGCGCTCGGTTGTTCATTGCCGGGTGGATCCAACGAAACGCATTTTTCAGTGTGTCAGTGTGCGCGTGTGTGAGACTCGCCTAATCCGCCCAGGGGCGTAAGATAGGGCTTGCTTGAATTTGGCAAGGCTCCGAGAAGCCAGGAAAATGACATCTCGGACCTCTGTTGGTAGTACGTGGATCTCGATGAGTTTCTTTCCGAAAATGGCATCCCCGTTGACGGTGTGGCTGGCGGCGGACAGGGTGCCATGCAGGGTAGCCAGCTGCATAAAATCAACAACACCGAGGCCAGCGGACATCAAGGGTCAGCGGGTCTCCACTTGGAACCGGTCACCAAGCGTGAAAGGTCACCCTCGCCGAGCGAATGTTGCTCGCCGGACCCCCTGAACCCACCCTCTCCCGCGGACTCCAGTGAGTAGAGAGAGGCTGAACTCTCTTCGCACCGTCTTACTTTTATTTCTCGTCTTAGCCGGCTCATTCGCGATGTCGATCCTGAGAAGTGTTTCACGCCCGCGTCACAATTTCGCGGTTTCGTTTTTAAGATACACTTTTAGCATTCAATTACGCATACTTCCTCGTTCCTTTTCAATTTAGATATTATCACACGAATATACGTACGCTTGGGTACTTTGTTCGTTATTTAATATTTTATTCTGTTACACATATTTCGGGTTACGCTAGGTTAAACAATAGCATGATACTCTGTTAATTTGATCCACCACTAAAATAGATTTAACACGGCCTTCTTCCCGAGGTTCTCATGTCGAAGTAGTTGTTGTTCGTCATAAGTCAATAATTTAAGTTAAGGTGTAGAAGTCTATTCGTTTGATAGAAACCTGCCTTTTCGACAATTTGTATCTACCTTCTGATAAGTAAGTCAGCATTAAAATATCACGGTTATATTCATTGTTATTCCTTATAAGAGTTTATTCTGAATAAATATATGAATTTGCAACGAGACTCTGTGTTTTTTTAAACAAAATCAATTTTTCTATTTTAGTGGGGGACCACATTATCACTTCTGCTCCTCTTCGACCCATTACTTGATACCGCTACATTTTTTTATAAATTAAATTACGTCTTAAGTAATTCATAAACGTTGAGTCTAGAATCGATTGAGCAACACTTCGACGAATGTAATCGTTGAGCTTTCAATTTAAAATATTGATCGACAAAGTTATCGTACAAAATGTAAATTGGGGAGCCACAATACCGCCTTCTCCTCTATTATCTAATTTAGTTACATGGTCTGAGATATATATATATATATATACATACGTTATCTGTTAATTTCTCCGATCGGTGAATGCTGCAAAGAGAATGGCGAAGAGAAGAGAAAAGAAGAAAAAAAACACTCTGTCTCAGAATCCGTATCGCGATAACGTCGGGCTTGTCGAGAATATCACAGCAGACTAGACTAACGTCGACATTGTCGATTGTTCCCCTTCCGCGCAACAGATTCCGAGGACTCGTCACGAATACAATATGGCTTGTCTCTTGTAGCGCTCTCGATGGCCTCATCGGGGCGAGACTTCGATCCACGTACCCGGGCCTTCTCCGACGAGGAGCTCAAACCTCAACCTATGATCAAGAAATCACGGAAGCAGGTAAGGCCCCTTTCATTATCGCCGTTTTATTTTGTCACGCATTGTTCGCGTCCCGCGCTTTCAATTTCCAATCGGCCGAACGCCGAGGCAAATGAAATTCGCGCGGAACGTGCTATTTCTCGCGATGCGATTAGATATGGACGTTCTAATGTTCTTATGTCCTTTCTTTTTCTCTCACTCTCTGTCTTTCTTTCTTTCTGCCCTCCTCCCTCTCTCTCCCTTCCGTTTGCGGCCGCAGTTCGTTCCGGATGACTTGAAGGATGACAAATACTGGGCGCGTCGTAGGAAGAACAACATGGCAGCGAAACGATCGCGAGACGCGCGTCGCATGAAGGAGAACCAGATAGCACTCAGGGCCGGCTTCCTCGAGAAAGAGGTGAGTTTTCCCACGATTGGCAATTCGAAACCGGTAAGCCGGTTGCATCTAATGCAGTCATCTCGGCTCGGTAAGCGCAAACGTTTGAAAACACGAGACCGATGACTCGGTAATATTATAAAAGAAAATAATATCCCGAAGAGGTTGGAACTCGCAAAAGATGTCTTAAATATGTCCAAAGGGCGTTCTACTTTTTTCGATGTCATTCAGACGCCTATACGTTGTTTTCTGGAAGTTTATGTTGTCTGGGACGCATTTTCACTAACTTCTCGGTTCCGGATGTTAGTCGAAATAAGAGATATCCCGCAATGAAAAATGAGTTTAATCGGATCTACAAGTTGATCGAAGCGAAATTTCTAGTTCTCATTAACCAAATTTGGTTCGTACAAGCAGAAATTCTGTTATTTCCTTCGAAACGATCCTCACTCGTCGCTTCATTTGCAGAACATGGGTCTGCGGCAGGAGCTAGAGCGATTAAAAAACGAGAACATGCTGCTGCGCGACAAACTGAGCAAGTACACGGACGTCTAACACCCCACTGTTGGCCATCTACCTGCTCGAGCGACACACAGAGAGAGAGACGCGGACACGAGGGCGCATCACACCGGCCACCCCCTCGCTTATAGTCGCAGCGCATAGTCGCTTCGCCTCTACGGAGGAAGCGAAGAGGAAGGAGAGCATGTCGACGAAATACCAGCCACTCCCGACCCGACTGCCGCCGCCCTAAAGCCGACTTCCTCAGAAATCTCTAGGGATTCCTTCTCTCTCCATACCTATCTATCTCACTCTCAGAGACAAACACCACACATACATACACACACGCACACATACCCCCCCCCTAACCCTTCTCTCTCTCTCTCTCTCTCTCTCCCTTTTTCTCCCTCTCTCTTTCTTTCCCTCTCTCTCTCTCTCTATCTCGAATAAAAATCTTCTTGAGTCCTCGCTCCTGGTCCCGCTCTAGAAAACTCCTCCACTTGTAAATAGTTATATGTATAGTTAGATTATATACACACATAGAGAGACCTATATACGCGCGTATGCGCGCGCGTGTTATATATGAATATATATACGCACGAATATATATATTCGTATATGTATATATATATATATATATATATGTACGAAACAGAGGAAAAAGGCACATATATATATATATATATATATATAAACATAGACAACATACACGCACACATACACAAACACACATATACAAGACAGCATACACGAGTATCTGCGCTGAGCAAAGAGATACGTTCGTCACGCGTGTACGAACGCGCGCGCGTGTTCAGCGCTCGTCGAGGCACGTCGATTTTGCGCGTCCAGTCGAGCTTTCCGCGGATTTGCATTCGTGATATTCCGAAGAGATATTTCGGACGATCGCGAGATTCGCGACGGTATTCTCTCTCTCTCTCTCTCTCTCTCTCTCTCTCTCCTTTTCTTCCATACTCGGCGAGGAGACGGCGAATCTCGACGACGCGCTGAGCACTGCCACACGTACGGAAAAGAAAAAAAAGAACTATCGCTAAGTCGACATGGAGCGGCGGAGGTGAGCGGAGGTTGGGAGAACGACGCTTTTCCGCGTACGGGTTAATATCCTAGTTCTCCGAGAATGCGTTAATTATTGTAGCGTATCCCACGTGGTGATGGTACACAAGTGATTCTAGTTGTTTTAATCGTAAGATAGATGATATACGTGTTTCGTTCTCATCGTTTCCTTTCTCCTTCTCTCTCTCTCTCTCTCTCCCCCTCTCTCTCTCTCACTCTCTTCCTCACTCTCTCTACTTCATCTATCTATCTACCTATTTACCTGCCTATTATCTATCTATCTATCCATCCACCTATCAATCTATCTATCCATCTCTATCTCTTTTCTAGCATGTAGCGAATCAATCCGGCCACGCGAGGGGTGCACCTGGAGTGCGCGGAAGGCGTCGCGACGCGACTCTATCCTCTTCTTTCGTAATATCGCCCGCTGGCCCGAGGTCGGCGGCTCGGGGACGAACGATGGGCGGGCCCGTCGAGACCCGTAAGCTGCGCGTAGCGAGTGAATATTGTGCAGGATGCCCTCTCTTGTTTGTAAAATATACTTTAAGATACGCATCGAGTCATCCTGAGGCACGAGCGAACGGCGGCTCTCGTCTCTCGATTGTTACGCGTGGTCGTCACGGGACGAACGAGACCGGATGCACCGTGTTCGGCGAGCGAATGCGCGCAGCCACCGGTGGGTTGCAGATGGGCGCGTGCATCGTCCACGTTGAATCGTAGCGTCGGCGTGATATTACACGTTACACGCGACACGAGGATTACGATCGTGCTTAAACGTAAGCTAGCCGCACAGGCTCGCGTGCACTGGCCCTCTCCCCCTCCTCCCTCATCCCTTCTCCTCGCCCTTATCCATCCATCCAGGCCCTCTTCCCCGCCCGTTCCTTCTCTTTTTAAGTTTTTAGATGTTTATTTTCCATCGCCGCGAGAGTACCGGCGATGGTGATGGCGATCGAAAGAGCAAAAGTGGAGCCGACGAAGGAAATGTGCTTTTTATGAAAATAGCTTTTTACGAGATAACGAGAATCTATATTGTACAGATGAACGCGAGATCGAGGGAGATCCCCGCTCGTAGCAAAATTTAGTGACAATAATCGAGATGTGACCGCGAAGAGAGATATAATCCGTACGCCCGGAACATTACCGTGAGAGAAAGCGTGAACGGGCCATACCGGAAGGACGAGCGGGACTTGCGAGCCCAATCGCCGCATCTCGATCTCGAGGGGGGTTGGTTGCATACGCGCGCCGGGACAGGGAGTTTCTCGTTTCGACGTTCGTCCGTATACGCATGTACCGGCGATACGTAATTTTTACATAGTCTGGTTTTCCTTTCGGCCGAAGCGCGGCACGTCGATGTTGCGTTAACGCGAAACGCGACAGCGTTTTGTACATACATCGTTTTATCGACGAAGAGGGTGACAGAGGAAAAAAAAATAAAAGAATCACAGACACGCATACACACATACAGAGGATCAAGCGAGAGACGAAGATGCAGACGAGAGGAAATTTCCAATTTCGAGCTCGCCCCGGAAGGAAAAGGAGAAAAGAAATAAATCAGCATCGCCAGGACGATTTCGCCGATCGCGCGTGCGAAAACGGCACGATGCTACCTACCCGTTTTATTCTCGCGACATTTTCGAAAAGATTTCGAGCGTTTTATATATCCATCGCCTTACCGTGTTGCTGTCATTACTTTCCCCACGTTCGCTACACACGTATATAACATTGTATATACGTGATTTTTTATCGGAGCGGACGTCCACGGATGCGCACCCGTCTATACGCACGATCGTGGTGTTCACGTGCGGGCGCGCAATAATTCGATCGTCCGATGCCTTATCGCTGTTCGATTTGCCAAAACAGACGTCGCACGCGAAATCGTCCGACGACAGTTCTTCACGATTGCCTTGCACGTTTTTCGACGAAGGAATGCCCGCGCGACGAATTTACAACAGTTCACAACAGTCCCCCGCGCCGTCAGATTTAGCGAGTGGCTTCGCCCGTCTCTAGATTTTGCGTTATAATTTCGGCGAACGTAGCGGCACGAAATTTTACTTTCCCCGTGAGAGAGTGTCACGTCTCGTACGAACTTGTCGTTACCCGATGAAGTAGCCGTCGCATTACCCGTGATTCCAACGGAAGAATAGAGAGCGTGATTAAAGGTAAAAAATGCGAACGGGAGGACCGCAAGCCGTTAGCGTTGAACGAAATTTCGCGGTTTGATTGTATACGAGGTTTCTCACACGTCATTCTTCGAGGCATTAACGTAGACCGCAGGGACGCTCTTCAGTTATATCCGCAATATCTCTACTCGAAGATTAGCGCGAGTCAATATCGAGCTCGCGCGTATGTGTTCTGCTTGTCACGGCACGCTAGTCATCGTTAAGGGCGATACGAAGGAAAACGCAAAATTACCTTTCCTCTCCCGACGCAGCGACGACACTTGGCCGCCGCTTAAAGTCGCGACGCGCGATTAAGTTCTCGTTACCCGCAGCATCCCGGGCGCGAATTCGAAATTAGCACCCGCTCCCGTTCTCAGGACGTCGTTAACGATGCCGAGTGTGCGCGTATGATGTGGATCTCGGCACAAGTTATTGGCCTATAAGAAACGCGTTAGCATGATCGACATACACCGCAATCCGACGATAGTAATAAATAAAATAGTAGAGAACTTTAGAGAGCAGCGCGCGAGACAGACGCGGCCGCCGGCTTTGCTCCAAAATAGAATGGTAAGAAAAACGAGATAGAGGACACCGCCGCGTCTTCGAATGAATAATCGTCCGATCCACTTAAACGAAAAACTGGAAAACTCGAGAAAACTTAGATATGACCACCAACACAAGAAAACCTATTGTATCACATTTCGAGAAATATATGTATTTGTTATTGTTTTAATTGAATCCTGTTCCCTGCTGTGTATCTGCCGATTCGCCGAGCGTGCGGCCTACGGATTCAGTCACTCGAATCTAGATCGCGAGATTAGATGTCGAGAGATGAAGCGAACACGAGATATCACTCGATTCGAAACGCGCGTATCCGTGCGCGCGTCCAGCATTTTCGCTGATTTATCTCTCCGTCCCGCACAACCGTTGAGTGTTTATCAGTTTCCATTCAATGCGCTCATCGGGACGGAAAGAGGCGGCTGGAACGAGCTTCGAGTTTGCCTACGTTCCCCCATCAATCACGTCACGTGACGTGACCAGAGACCAACCGATGATATAGTTGCAATCATCAAAGTGGCTGGTAGTTTACCGACGTTCCCACGTGCTGCGAGAGTATGAACGTTGTATACACGAGTCACAAGCGCTGCGATCGTCAAACCCGCCATTCTATGATATATACGATCCGTTTTATCACGTGATGATATTTGATTGTTTTCTCAGTTATTTCATCACAAATTTCTGTGATATACGCCACCAAAGACTAGTGGAAAATCATCTGTGAAGAAACATACAAGAAACTGAGAAAACTTTCGGAGCAGCCCAATGTTATAGTCAGACATTGGGTACAAAGTCCCGAGCTATTCAATATCAGCTAGATAGAGCGACATATATCTACGTGTTACGTATATTACTTGGCATTTGCGCTGAATCATGTTTTTTTAAACATTTACCAGAATATCGCGGAGAGATAAGCGGATTATATAACAGTCCTGTGCAATACTTTTACGCAGTTGAACTTGATACTTTCTTCGGACTATTGTAAACGAAAGAAAAGATCAGAGGCATCATCATCCGTGAAACAAACGAATATCAAAAGAAACCAGCTGAAGTTTAAAACCGGTTAACTCAAAGAAATTCCCTTTACATTAAGGTGTCGAGTGCAGATCCCTCTGGCGAAATGAGCTATTTTCTCATTTCTCTTATTGTCGGTCTGGCGTTGTTTGTTCTTTTGAGATATTGTTGCTCTAACAGGAACAAATCTGTCCCGCAAGTAACGGAAACATGGTGGACACCCGGTACCGAAAAACTCGTCGATAACAGGGTCAAGTCGTACCGCGTTAACTTCTCTCAAGAGGTATCGATTAATTGACGATTTTACGGAAAATATTCAAATAATATCTCGACTATTAACGCGTAGAATGCCGTGTTTCCGTCGATCGCCCAAACGTCTAACTGTTGATTACGTAATTAAAGCTACGGTAAATAAATACAATCCACAGTACATGTATCTCTTATCGCGTTTCATTGACAGTATTATCAGCGGCACAGCCCATAGATGCAATTAATTATATTTTACGCGCAACAATCATATCAGTCCCGGTCACCGGTGATTGCCGTGACATTCAACGTATTAACAGAAAGTATTTTCAGATGGTGGACGATTTAAAATATCGGCTGAAGCATACTAGAAACCTAACACCGCCGTTGAAAGACACCGCTTGGACTTACGGCACGAACACAGACGTTCTGCGCAAGCTTTTGAACTATTGGGCGAACAAGTATGACTTCCGGAAACGCGAGGATTACATCAATCAATATCCGCAGTTCACAACTAACATCCAAGGTGAGGAAGAATCGCCCGTCCGAACAATGCGAACGAGTTCATGGCGAATATTTAAAACGCTCGAATTTATATATGAATTTCATCATATATATATATATATATATATATATATATATAT